TTGCCTAGAAGGTCAAGACCCTGGCTTCAATCCCCAACACTGCAAACAAACAAACAAACAAACAAACAAACAAAAAGGTTCACTGGAAATTTGTATATTAAGCAATTGATAAAGGCTCCTTAATACAGTATCCTGAGATGTCTTATGAATGTTACAAGAAGAGAAAGCATAAGTATTTCCCAGTCATATTTGAGCAATGGATACTATTGCCCTGAGCACGTATTTAAAAATCTATTATTGTAGGAAATGCAAAATGAAAGATCTATTATTGTGACAAATGGCTAATCATTTGGTGAAAGGTAAGAGGGTTATGAGATTTGTTGTGAGATTTGTTGATCTTTATTAACATCACCTCACAGCCATTAGGAAAATGTTTCTCTTCTGCCACTATCTCTTGATTACAGAAATAATAGAGTGGAGATTCTGAGGGAACCTTGGCGAGAAACAGACTCATAGGAGTGACAAGGGGGAGTCTTGGTGCTCAGTACCAAGACACCCAAATTCCTTGAAAAACAATGGTTAAGCAAACACATTAAAAAACCTTACTTCTTCCAAAAAGAGAGTATCTGGAAGTCTATATTAGTGGATTGCTATCTTCTCTTTAATGCTTAGGGACACCTAAATTGATGCTTTCAATTCTATGTGGAGGTGAAGAATGAAGAATGGGAGAGAGGGAGGGAAAAGGAAGCACAGTATATATGGAGTCTTCACCAAAAGAGAGAAGCTTTTGGAAATGACAGAAATAGATGGTACTTTTTTAAAAATACAGAAAAGCAAAGCTTCAGTTAAACCTAGAAGAAAAAAGCACATGAGATAAAGCAAATTGGTTTCTTTTTAAATAGGCAGGTTCCAGAGCCCCTGCTGTGGCCTTGGAGGGTCGAGAATATTTTAGCTTACCTTGTGGGTTCTCTGCAGAGTCAGGAGTTTATGTGTGCAGCTCTGTACCTGTTAGGTGTACAGTGTGGCTAGGCTAGACATATTCACCTGCTAACAAATGCTGATCAGCATTTAAAATGCTGATCAGCATTTAAAATCAGTTCCTGCCACTGCCCTGAGGGGCCCTTACCTAAATGGGATATAGGCACCCACACTGGCCTCACCCCCAACCAACTGAACAGAGCCCAGTAAAATGTCATATTGGCACCAAAGAAAAAGACTATGTTTGCTTGCATATGCAAAATGTTGGCTAAGAATATGCCAGATTTATTTAGGCATTTCTTCAAATCATTTTTCTGTGCTAAGGCAAGGAAAAATAAATAAATAGTATTTGCAAATAGAATTATCCAAGTATATAGGTATTTGACATTTGAGGTAATACTTCTGATTTCCTAGTGACACATTATTTCAAATTTGACTATTAAAAATTAATTTCCTTTTTTGGTGTGTGGCACTCTGTCATCTATCAGTTATCTATGTAGCTATTTATCTTTCTATCTATCTGTCTCAATGTCTGGCCTCTGCCCAGAGGACAAAGTGAGTTAAAATGCAGAAATTATAGAAAAGAGGCTAATGCCTGGTTTCCCTAGTGCTGAACACTTTTATGAAAAATTTGGTTGGAACTTTCCTGATTATTCAGTTGTTTCCCTTCTGCATAGATCTATAATTCTAACTGCAGAATAAGTACCTGCCACTGCATGACAAAATTAGATATTCTAAAAGTATCTTAATTTGTTATTTGAAATTTCCCAGGAATAAAACAACTGTTTCCAATAACCTAGTAACTTTAGCCTTATCTTTGACCTTTAGTCCTTTTGTAATCACCTTTTTTTTGTTCCATGAAAGTTAATTTAAACAAGTTTTTACTAAAAAATAAATAAATAAAGAGCCGATTATATGACTTTAAGGAAACTATGTAAAACATGAACTCAGGTGCAAAAGTCATAGCAAAATATGCAAAAACTACAGTAGTTTGTGAAGATGGAAGGATTATGGATTGTTTGATTCTTCAGTGCCTTGCTTTAACTGGTTTTAAATGACTAAAGCATTATCTGTTATTCCTAATGGTAGGACTTCCAGTTATCCCTCAAAAATGTCATTAACTCTCTTCAGGCCTTCAAATTGTATATGCAATCATTAAAGACAAGCAAGTATATATTTCCTAACAAGCCATCCCTGTGGATCACCTACTGAAATGTGCTATTGGAATTGAACACAAGGCAAAATGTCCCTGATGTGTCAGAGTAGGCAAAGGCCTAGACTGGAGGAAACCTTCTCATCCAGAGAAAGATAAGATAGTTAAGTGGACAAAGTTAAATCTCACTTTGCCCTTTGACAGTGTGGTTGAAAAGACAAAGAGGCATATGTGAGTCAGACACAGTTGAAAAGTCTGGCTTGGTCAAAATGCATCCCCATGTGCTGTATGTGATTCATAAGGCCCATCCCATGGCATGCGGATGACTTGAGGAAACTCATGTGCTGCTCCTAACACATCATTTCTTGGTAGATGACTAGTGACCACAGAGCATAGGGATTCAGTGCAGGAAGGAGCTGAGTCAGCATCAGAGGAGCTCTCATAGCTTCATATGTCCTCATTATGAAATGCAACTGAAGAGAGATGACAGTACCGTGAACAGTATTGTTGGGTGCAAAGTATTACCATGAGGGACAGCAGTTGGCTGTGAAGGGAAAGAGCCATATTTTATAGAGATTCAGAGATCAAGATGAGCCTACTGGATAAATTTACCATCCCAAGAGGAACAACCAGGCTTTATGTCCTTCCATGTGATGCTATATGAATTCACAGCACCTTCTATCAAGTATTCTTGCCAAAGGAGAATGTCAAGCCTTAGAGCTGGAGAAAAATGGAGATAAGTGCAGAATAAGGGACATTTTTATAGGGCACCTGATATGTCTTGGATACATGCAATATAAAAATCAAATAGAAGAGATTAACTTCAGAGATACAGTATGTCAGTGACATAGAGTGGACTTTGTATCTTGATTCAAACAAATCTACTCTAAGTGGGGAAGATATTAAGGTGGACTATGTATTATGTCATAGTAAGAAATTACTGCCAAATTTGTTAGATATGATATTATTATTCGTTATGGTCAGCCTTTTCATCACCATGACCAAAAGACCTGACAAGAACAATTTCAAAGCAGGAAAATTTTATTTGGGTCATGGTTTCAGAGGTTTCAGTTCATAGTCAGTTGACTCCATTGTTCTGGATCCCAGATGAGGCAGAACATCATGGCGGAAGGGTGTGGAGGAGGAAAATAGCTCAGGACATAGCAATCGGGAAGGGAAAGAAAGAGATCTACTCAACAGGAACAAAATATAACCCCGAAAGACTCCCCCTCCAGTGACCTGCACCTCCAACTACACACTACCTGCCTATAGACTTAAAATAGATAAATTCCTAAATATTAATTCTCAAAAATAAGTAACTGTGATTCTTTCCCTGAGTAAGGTTTAAGAATTAATTTGTCCACATCCATTAAAAAGGGGCAAAATGTTCTCAGGGGCCACATGTGATAACCAAAATCAGACCTCATCATATACTACTAGTAGAAAATAATTTGATTCAGCATCTGGGGAGGGCAATTTGGCAAAAACAACCCCAGTACCAATACACTTACTTAGCTACCATTCTAGCTTCTAGGAATTATCCTTTGAACACATACAAAGCTATTGCTATGAAGTGTTCATCGACATTCACCACAACAGTATTTTAATAGCAAATAACTGAAAGGACCCCAATTGTTTACCAATAGGAAACTGGTTAAAGAGATTACCACTATCCAGGAAAAGGAATATTAATCAGCTCTTGCAACTAACATAAAAGATCCAAATTGCCAACGTGGAAGTATTTTTAAGATATGTGAAATTTTAAAAACTGGTACAGAAAACTATGAAACCATTTGGAGTCTTAAAAAAAATCTAGAAGCATACAGGCAATGAATAACAATATTTACCTTTGAGGTAAAGTATTGGCAGGAAAGAAGGTTGAATTTTTTACTTTATACACTTAAACATTTACCATGGTCTTATTTAAATTTGTATTTAAAAAAGGAAAGGAAAACATCTAAACAGAATTATATGTCCCATGTGCTGAGAAAATTCATCTTAAAAATGTAATTAGGAAGGTGATTCTGTTAGGGAAAAATGTATAAACCAAAGCCATTTTTAAAATTTGTAAATTACAAAGTGTTTTAGGAAGAGCAATTATTCCTTCTATAGTGTTGGTAAATTATGCAAAATTATATGAAACTCTGAAAGTACTTGGAACTCATCAAACAATGTTATATAAAAGATGAAATTTTACTGTTTTTTAAAATATTGTTTAATTACACATGGACACAATATCTTTATTTTGTTTATTTATTTTTATGTGGTGCTGAGGATTGAAACCAGTGCCCCACATGTGTGAGGCAAGCGCTCTGCAACTGAGCCACAACCCTAGCCCCGAAATTTTACTGTTTTTCAAGTGCAAGTCCTAGCTGAGAAAACACTGGAGAAATATTTCAGTTTATCTACCATGGAAATAAAATTAGCTTTAACTAAACATTAGCCTTCTGAATCTTAAAATAGGATAGTGTTAGTGGCACCTACCATATTTCTACATTCATCATCTCATTGATCTCACATTAACTTTGCAGGACAGGTGGTATCTACCCCAATCTTCACATGGGGAAACTGACGCTAGGGGTATAAATCAACTTGCTCAAAGTCACACAAAGTAAATGAAAAGTCAAGAACCCATGGCAGCTCATTTGGTTCGCCCTGCCCTCCTCCATCTTCATTATTTGGGGAACAACAAAGAGGGTAGAGGAAGTCATTTGGTCTTTGACTCTTGCCTTTCTTTATTTCTTGTTTTGTTTTTTTTTTTTTTTTTTTGCAACTAGCTGTGCTTTTTTACCCATTATTTCATCCTAGGAGAAGACTCTTAATGGAAAGCTTCACCAGGTGTCCAGGATTATGGAGAATTTATTAGCTGTATTTTCTTGGTGTTTTCAGTAAGACAGAGAATTGACAGCTCTTGCGTCTTCTTTTTCAGATATTGTGGATGCTTTATCAGATCCAAAGAAATTTCTCTCAATTACAGAAAAGAGAGCAGACCAAATGAGAGCTATGGGCATTGAAACTGTAAGTAGACATGGTTGATTAGATATAGTAAGGTGGGGAGTTTGGTCACCAAACTGTGATTACAAAAGCAAGACAAAGTAATACATTATTGAAGAAGATTTAAAGGGGGTTTTAAAACTGAGCTTATTGATTTCCTAATAGTTTCAAGGGTCTACAACAATACAGGCTATTGAGTAAAATGTGGCCACCATCAGAAAAAGCCACTTCTATGATAGTAGCTTAGCACATGTGAGGACCCCTGCCCCATTAGAAATGAATTGGAAAATATCTGTGATGATATTAGAGCAATTTACAATATAAAATGCTTTTGAAGAACTAACTAACCCAATTCAGTGAATGAATGAAGACAGCATTTGTCTTCACTTTTAACCTTTTAACTTTTAACTTTAACCCTTGTATCAATGCCTCCCATTCCAATTCATGCTTTGTTGATTCTTTTATTTGTAAATGTTTTATTTACCAAACTCCTCCATTTGGAGTAGAAGCAACCCTCTCTCCAGGAGCTGGAAAGGTGTTCCATTATCTTTCCTTGTCTCCATCCTTTGGCTAATGCCTAAGGAATCCACATCTTCTCTACTCCTCCCAGGCAAAGACCCTTTCAGAGAGTAAAACCCCAGGGCAGGGAAACAGGAGAGGCTGAGGCTAGATGGAATCCACTAAAACAATGTGTAAGATATTAAATCTTGGGTGACATTCATTTGGGTCAGTCTGAATGTTTTTGTTCCAGAGTGACATAGCTGATGTGCCCAGCGACACTTCCAAGAACGACAAGAAAGGAAAGGCCAACCCAGCCAAAGCCAATGTGACCCCTCAGAGTAGCTCCGAGCTCAGACCCACCACCACAGCCGCCCTGGGCCCCGGCGTGGAAGCCAAGAAAGGTGCAGTAGAGTTGTGGGGCTCCTTACCTCTTCTGGCAATTGGAGCTGCTATTAAAATTGTCTTTCATAAGGGGATTTAGAATCACTAATTTTGCCAGTTTTCACTTGATCTTAAAACTGCAAAGGAGCACATTTTCTTATGGATTGGACAAAGCACTTAATTTCCCTGTTTAATAGGGGGTGAAAATTGGGCACAGTGGTGCACACCTGTAATCCCAGTGCCTCTGGAGGCTGAGACAGAAGGATCAAGAGTTCAAAACCAGCCTTAGCAAAAGCAAGGCACTTTCATTCTAATTGGCTAGACTGCTATTCTGATTCAATGGTGCTCATCCTACACTGATAATTAAACATTTTAAATATCCTCCTTGACCTTGAATCATTTAGGACAGTCACTCTCCTTACAGCAATAAGAATATTTATTTTACCTTATGGATTCTTACTGTCAGTTTTGTTTATTCATTTATGCATGAATTCAGTGTCCTCAATATAAGGAAATCAAGTTTTTTTTACACTTATGTACACACAGTGCTGCAGTTAAAGGTAAGAAGTGACAGACTTTTCCAATCCAAAGCAATGTAGCAATTTAGTGGGAAACTGTGCATTGAGCTTTGGGAAACAAATTAGAAAATGAGAAGGCACAAAGTATCTCAGTTTTGCCCTGGTCCTCCAGCTGTTTGTCTGTTCTTTCTTGAAAAGAACATGGAGCAATGTAATGACACAGGCTTTGGGCATTGCATACTGGCCCTGGTCATTATGAACATTAGCCACTCAGTCAGAGATGGACAGTAGAAAATGAGGGAGCTGTGTTAAATAAAGTTCTTGTCTCACACCTACCAATACATAAAGACATTAGAAATTATAGGGTGTTAGGTGGCCTGAGAAAGAGTGTGACCAACTTAAGACAGCCGTGATTCTTGTTCCAGAGGGAACATGCTTGTGTTTAGAGCTGCTTTACCTTGGTTCCCAAGAAGACTGCATTTGAAGGAGCCAAGCAGCTGTCACTCTGCTCTAGTCTTCCCCATGGATGCTCTGACAAGAAGGGTCTCCCTATTGTTCATCTGGGCAGCTTACTCAGGACACCTGCAAGTGGGGAGGAGGGTAAGGTCCCAGTTGAGCTGGACCTTAAAACATAGATCTGATTCAAATGGAAAGTTTTAGAAGGATGGAGAAGCCCAGAGAAGGCAGCCTGGGCAGGAACGAGATGGAAAGCAATTCAGTGCAGGGAAAGAGGGCACAGGCAATGCTAATAGGTCATGGCAAGCTTTCTTCCTGGTCTGGAAAGGTTTCTTGGATCACCCCAATAAGGAGATGGGGCACAGCAATGAATGAAGAATTTTAAGAAGATTAGTACTGTCTTGGCAGAAGAATTAATTGAAAGGGCGAGATGCTAAGATTCATTAAGAATCATGCTCTGTCACAGCATATACCGTGTTATATTTATAGAGTGTTAAAAACCAGAGAAAAAGGTTTACAGGTGAGACCCACCTCATCATCAGTGTGTTTCTGGGACCATGTCTAAGAAGGGTTAAGCAGCCTTTCTTCTTAGAAAGGAGGTGGCTAATGAAAGAATGACAGTGGAAAAGGAGGGCCTGGATAGAGCTAGGAGTAGTCAGAAGGAGAAAAAGAAAGGGAAGGAAGAATAGGAAGGAAAAATGGGTAAAAAGAAAGAGAAGGAAGAATAGGAAGGAAGAATAGCTTGAATATGAGCCTTAGGGAGGGAAAGGGTCAGTGAAAACTCAGAGACTTCAAGGCGAGGTCCCAGAGCTGGATAGTAAGCAAAGTAGAGTTGTTAAGAGGAGGAACTGTTTTTGAGAGTCATTGAGAAGAGGAAAATAATTCTGATTCTGAACATCTGTAAGTTCAAGCTGTTGCTGATACATCTGGGAAGAAACGTGATAGTAAATCTGTGGTAGATTAAGAGGAGGAAGGAGGGACAGATCAAGTGGAGGGGTGATAAGAATAGTTAGGCAGAATAAATAGAAAATAGACAGAAAAAGATAAATTTAAAAGAAGAAATAGTTCTCAGTGCTTTATGTAAATATACATAAAGCTGAAATTTTAAAAAAAAACAATGAATAGAAGGAAGATATAGAGAATAGAGGAAAGGGAAGTGGAGAAAAGAGGAGTGGGGGGAAAGAGGAAATACTGGGGACTGAGGTGGAGCAAATTACACTGCATGCTTGTATGATTACGTCTAAATGAACCCCAATGTTATGTATAACTAAAGGCAGTAATAAAAAAATAATACAAAAACAGAAGAATTCGTTTTGAGAAGAAATTATGGACAGGACTCAGGAACTTATAATAAAATAAATTACTATGGAGCCAGAGACACTTGGATGATGAGGGTGGGAACCTGGCTTTAAAAAAAAAACCTTGATATGGCATAAGACATGGAATGCCAGCTCTGGTGGACCACTGGTGTTGTCAGTAGGAACTGAGGAAGAGAAACAGAAGAAAAAAACAAAAGAGAGGTGCTGGTGAAACAAGGCCCTGAGAAAAATCCCATGTGGCAAGGGCATGGTGTACAGCCGAGTGGATTCCTCTCCTCTCCAAAGGTGCGAGGTGCTGGCTGGGAGGTTCTCAGAGTGCTTCTCCTGGATTTGCAGTGACTGCACCCATGCTGCTTCATAACCTTTTCCATTTTAAAGACAAAGAATTAAAAAGAAATTACTCAGTTCCTAGTTAATTTTCAAATTAGGGATTGAGAGAAAACAGGTGATTTTAGAGGAACTATGTTGATAAGAATGAAACTTTATATAGTGGAAATTCAATTAGCCAGAATCTTTGGAGCCTGAAATGTGCTACTTGACCTACTTTCCTACCAGAGAATCCTGTAATTGCCCACCATCCAAGACAGAGACTTGAAGCCACTTGTGGCTTTTTAATGTATTTAATTTCATTTAAGCTTGAGAATTAAACCTTGAGTTTCTTATTCACACTTGCAATATTTTAGGTGCTCAGGAGCCACACATGTAGGTGGTGGCTCTCTATTGGACACCTCGCACATAGGTGTCCATTGTCATCAAAAATTTCTACCCATGGCTGGGGTTGTAGTTCAGTGGTGGAACACTTGACTCGCACGTGTGAGACACTGATCCTCAGTACCACATAAAAATAAGTAAAGTAAAGGTATTGTGTCCATCTACAACTAAAAAAAAAAAAGAAAAAATTGTAAAAGTTTTACTGATCACACTGCTGTAGGCAAATAGATAGAACTGAGTATATACAGTTTCCTTATCTGTAAAATGTGTGTTTCTTTGTTCTAATTAGATCATATATAGGAACCAAAACTTTTACAAGATATTTGTGTCTTTCTGAAACAGTGTACAAATGTTATTGAGGGAGGTGTAAGTTTTTGCAGGTTCCTACTTCTCAATATTTAGAAAAAAGAAAATCTAGTCATCTGGGTCAAGATCATATAGTAGTTGGTAGATCTCTGAAGGATCTTATATGCCTCCCAAATCCTGCATATTCCTTTTATAGGCTACAGAACTGAGACTCAAGGGTAAAGAGCTATTAGCTGTGCCAGGATTCAGTTCCCTGCCCTATACCACCTTTTCACTTACTCTCTGCCAAAAAGCAGGAAGGTGGCTTGTGATATCAGACACAAGACATCAGAGAGGGACCCCACAAACCCTTCACACTCCTCTCCTAAAATGTTATAGATGCCAACCCTGATTTCTCTCTATCAAGACTCTGTCTCTGCAGCCTTCCCACCCTCATACTGGATGTGCAAATCTTAAAATGAGCCAAGCTGGAGAAATACTGGCCTGGGACTTGATGCTGGATGTTTCTTGAATGTATCCTACCCTGGCCTTTGGGATTCTAATGAAAATCAATTACAGTGCATAGGACACATTCATTTTGTTGGCCCCAAATGAAAATCTGTGAACAGAAACCACTAAGGATTCATATTCTTCTGCAATGGTGGTTGCCATAACAACACCTGGGCTAGCTTTACTCAGATAGTTGGCTGACTTATTGCATTACTGGGGGTTCTAATGGCAGCATCCTGTTATACAATAATTTTCATTATGTCCTGTATGTTGCTTCACTCTATAGTTACTAACGTACAAAGATGAAATTTGTTAAAAGAATGATACTGAAAAAAAAAAAGCATTTTGTTCTTTGATGATGATTAAGTTTGGGAATAGCGTTGGGAGTTAGTTGACTGATATTATATGTCTTGAAATGCAGAAGATTAAAGTAACTGTAATAGATGACATTGTACCTGATCAGATCCCTTTTTAGAGTTGCTTAGCCCATCCACCAGCTGCTAAGAATGTTGACTTTAGTTGCTTCTTCTCCAGAAATTTGCCCAAACCATGGGAGTTCTCTTACCTGAAAGGTTTTATAAAACCTCTGAAGCTCTCAGCTGACTCATCTGAAGTCACAAAAGCCCACCTTCCTTTCATCCTGGTAGAGTGACTCTCAAGAGTGCCATTTATACATAGGATCAGGCTGAGAGTGCATTTCTGCTAGAAGTACACCCTGTTTCTTCCTGTGCCCTATCCTCCCTCTTTCTCTCTCCCTTTTGGATTTCTCCTGAGAGTCTACCATCAGTATGTCATGTGCACAGAAATCTTGTTTGTGAGAAGGAGACTTCTCAGGCTCTTCTTGTAGGGAGCCTAAGACACTAATCATTTCAATGGTCTATTTAAATGCTGTATCATAGGAATTTAAGGTGTTCATATCCATAACATTACATGTAATTCTGCTTCAAAGTCATTAGATAAGTTTTCAAATCTGTAAATTTCAGATGAACAGTTATCCTTTCTGATTTTTAATATGCACAGTAACTTTTAATGACTTTTTTTAGGCATTGAACTTATCCCTCAAGTGAGGATAGAAGATTTAAAGCAGATGAAGGTAATTGGACCATTTTGCAGACACTCTTGTATTATGCATGTTGGTAAAACCAAAATATTTTTGTTTCTCTCCAATTGCAATCATTCTGACTACAAAACATACACACGCACACACAACTTATTTTGGATTCTCTTCCCCCCCCCCCACCCAACAGGCTTACTTGAAGCATTTAAAGAAACAACAGAAAGAGCTAAATTCTTTAAAGAAGAAACATGCAAAGGTACAATGTCTTTTGTGTGCATGTGGGTGTTTAATTTCATTGGCTTTCTTTTTGTGTTTCACTTTGATGAAAACCTATAGCTTCTATTTTGTGTTATGTATGGAACAGTTATTCATAGACAAAAGCACTACTTAGGAGCTCATCCTAGCTAACCAGAACAGCAGTATCTTCCTTTTAACTGATCTGCAATGGAATTGCAATATAGAATCCATTAGGGTTCCATTGTCACTGCTTTGTAGCCTGCATTTTTAACAATTATTTAAAAAATGTAATGAAGCTTCACCCATTTCAAAATTCTTCCACTAATAATATAACTTTTAAAATCTTGGGAGAACAGTTATATAAAACATTTGGTGACCGCCTGACTGTCGATGACTAGCTCACACGATGGCTGTAGGTTATCTTAATTCCCTGGGTCTGATAGTTCAGCACACACTGTGTGGAGGAAGAAGCTAGTAAGCTCTGTACTTCCTACCTCAACACCTGGAGAGGGAACACTTCTCATTTCCCCAACTCAGGGTTATATAAGCCCTGCTCAGGAGCCTACTTCTGAAACATATTTATTTTTCCTTTTAACCCATAAGAAATCTTTTTGGCAATGATTGGGAGAAATTGTAAGGGTCGGTTGCAAGTTTAAGAGAACATCTGTAGGTGGGCCCAAGAATTCTCCAGGTGTTGAAAAATATCCCAGCTCACAAACAAGATCCTTTTTTCCATTCTTCCCTCACAAAGAAGGGAGAAAAAATGCAGTATCATTTTCCTTTCTAAACTGTGTAACACGTGCTGCTGCGGCTTCTGCTGGGAGGACAGTGTATGCCCTTTTCTGTGAAGGGCAATAAGAGCAAAAGAAACATCATTTTTTTAATCTTTTTTTTTGTTTGGATATACATGACAGTAGGGTGTATATTGACATATTATACATACATGTGGTGCAACCCATTACAATTTCGATCCCATTCTTGTGGTTGAACATGATGTGGAGTTACACTGATCATGTATTCATATGTGAGCATGGAAAAGTTATATCAGATTCATTCCCATCCCCTCCCCCCTCATTCCCCTTTGTCTAATCAAAAGAATTTCTATACATCCCGTCTCTACCCTCCATTGTTATGGGTTAATATTCACCTATCAGAGAGAACATGTCCATCTTTGGTTTGGGAGGACTGGCTTATTTCAATTAACATGATATTCGCCAGTTCCATCCATTTACTGGTAAATGCCATAATTTCATTATTCTTTATAGCTGAGTAATATTCTATTGTGTATATATACCACTTTTTCTTTATCTATTTATCTGATGAAGGGCACCTAAGTTGGTTCTGTAGCTTACCTTTTGTGAATTGAGCTGCTATTAACATTGGTGTGGCTGTGTCACTGTAGTATGCTGATTTTAAGTCATTTGAGTATATACCGAGGAGTGGGATAGCTGGGTCAAATGGTGGTTCCATTCCAAGTTTTCTAAGGAATTTCCATACTGCCTTCCAGAGTGGTTGCACCAATTTGCAGTCCCACCAGCAATATATGAGTGAACCTTTTTCCCTACATCCTCATCAACAGTTATTGTTACTTTTATTCTTGATAATTGCCATTCTGACTGGAGTGAGATGGAATCTCAGAGTGGTTTTAATTTGCCTTTCTCTAATTGCTAGAGATTTTGAATATTTTTTCATATTTTTTTAAATTTATTTGTTTATTTATTTTAATAAACTATATAAGACAGCAGAATGCATTTTGATTCATTGTACACAATTGCAGCACAACTGTTCATTTCTCTGGTTATACATGATGTAGCATTGTTCAGTCATACATGTACCTAGGGTAATGATGTCCATCCATCTCATTCCACTATCTTTCCTGCCCCCATACCCCTTCTCCTTACCTCCCCTCCCTCCCCCCTTTGCCCAATCAAATTTCCTCCATTTTTTTTTCCATGCCCCCTCACATTATGGATCAGCATCCACTTGTCAGAAAGAACATTTGGCCTTTTTGACCATTCATATTTCTTCCGTGACATGCCTGTTCAGTCAGTTCCTTTGATGATTATTGATTGAGTTATTTGGGGTTTTGGATGTTAAGTTTTTGAGTTCTTTGTATATCCTGAAGATTAAAGCATTAAAGATTTTCTGCCATTTCTCTAGGCTCTCTCTTCACATTCTTGATTGTTTCCTTTGCTGTGAAGAAACTTTTTAGTTTGAATCCATCCCATTTATTGATTCTTTTTTTTTTTTTTCACTTTTGTTTTCTTTTTTTTTTTTTTCCATTTATTGATTCTTGATTTTAATTCTTGTTCTTTAGGAGTTTTATTGAGGAAGTCTATTCCTGAGCCGATATGATGGAGAGTTGGACCTACTGTTTTCTTCTAGTAGACACAAGGTTTCTGGTCTAATGCATAAGTCCTTTATCCACTTTGGATGGATTTTTGTGCAGAGTGAGATATAGGGGTTCATTTTTTACTTTGAAATGACTTCTGAGTCACTTTAAAATAACCTTGCAATTCCATTCTTTATACTTACAAAGAATTCCATTCTTTATACTTATCCCAAGCTTCACCCCAAGGCATGCCCTGTAGTCCTGGGCTTGAACAGTATACTGCTGACTCACTCTAGATATTAAGATGCAAAATATATGGCCTGAAAGCCCATCACTTCTTTGAGAATTTTTTCTCATTTGCAGTTAGGCCTAATCATGGCCTATTAATGTTCCCTATTAGTGAATCAATGGTTCAGCAAATTTGCTGACACAGAGGTCACTTCAAATACCTGAGTTCCTAAATTCATGAGCAATTCCATTCAGTGGATTTCCTCTCCTTGCCCATTTGGGAAATACTGAATATGTTTTTTTAAGTGTGGGGCTCTTAGAGACAGAGATGTTTAAAGTAAGGATTTCAATTTTGTGGCATATTTGCAATAAATAGAGTATGGAAAAGCAATAGAGAGAGAAGAAAGGAAATAAGAGAGAATACAAGTGAAAAGATTTTAATAATTAGGAATGAAGTTGATGCCCAAGTGCCACAGCATTATGTAACAGATTTCCCTTGCATTTAAGGTGGATTTCTGTCATTGAGAATGCATCTCAGTGACCTTTGGCATATTTAGGTAGGTAAATTTTTTTGGCTTCATTTAATATTTCCTTGAAGCATGGCCAGGAAATATACTGTGACTGATAATAATAACAACAGTTACAACAGCTACAATTTTTCCATGTTTTCCAGATGCCAAACTAGTACATTATGTGCATTGTCTCAATCAATGAGCCTTCGTTTGCACTTTAGGAAATTAAGGACTAGTGAGTTTGAGCAATTTAACTAATGTTTTAGAGTTAAGGAGCAAGAGAGCTGGTAATTGAACCCAAATCGTCTAAGTCTAGAACTCATACTCTTTATTTCCTTTTTATTTTTTTTGGTACTGGAGATTGAACCCAGGGACACTTAATCACTAAAGTACATTCTTAGTTCTTTTTATTTTTTTATTTTTTTATTTTGAGATAGTGTCTTGCTAAGTTGCTTAAGACCTCACCAAATTTCTGTGAACTTGGAATCCTCCTACCTCACCTCCTGAGTCACTAGGTATATATGCACCTCTATGCCTGACTTTATTGCATTATTCTGTGTAGGATATTGGATGCTTCACAGAATGAACAAGTCCACTCTCACTGGGTCAAATGCAGTGACAACACATGGGATATTAAGGAAATTCCCTATTTACTTGGACAGTGTTGATGTACTAGTTATCTTGATGGTTACTGAGGAAGAATGTGCCTCAGTTCTTTTTGAGTTGACCTACATCATACATACAGTCACCTATTGATTCTCTTGTCTTAACTTTGAGTCAAACTGAGTCCCAACTGACTCAGGTCATTTCACAGGCTTATCTGTTTAATCACATAACTGCAAAGATGGGAAACTTTTTTCCTGAGAGACCATTTATAAGTAACAGTGGGTCTTTCCTTCCACCTCAAATGCCTTGGGCTTCATTCCATTCATTTCCTTCTCCCAGATTAGGAGGAAAATATTAATCTCATTCATCAGCCAGTAGGTCCCAAATGACTAGATGGTTCTAAGCTGCCCTCATTTGCAGGAAATAATCTGCAGCTTATTCAAGTCCCCTTATTATAACAGGAAATACAAGATTTTAAATGTCCCCAAATGCTGCTGTCTGAATTTATGTGGACTTTCATAACACTTTTACTGTGCACTTTTGGGGAGGAAGCTTTAGCTCTGTTACTTATAGAGCCAAAGTGCCACGATGGTAGAACTTATTTGCTCCTTTTTAGAATGCTTTTCAGAAGCATTTCTGAACAAGTAAATGCATTTCACCTGTCTTTCATATCCTTTTACACTTCAGAAGTCAAAGGCATAAGTGTGATTATAAACTTATGAATGAATTTTGTCTCCCACTTTAAATATACCAGGGATCCAGTTTTTTATCCAGCTTGTGTTGGCAGTATAATTTATGAAATCTGAACTCTAGAGTCTTTTGTATAAACTATTATGACTAATAAAGCTAATATTTATTTAATGCCACTTTTGTGTCACATATTTTATATACATTCTTAAAACCTCACAATATTTCTGAAACCTAAAATAATACTCTCCAAATTTTAGACATGAATGAAATGAAATTCAGAGAAGGGAAGTCTCTTACCCAGAACAATATAACTAGTTAAATGCTGATTAAAACCTGTTTGCATAATTCTTAACATCATATCTTTACCACTTATCACATTGTCTATTTTTATTTTAAAAAAAAAGGATTTGGTCTCTTTTGGTTGTCTAAGGGCTTTGTAAATCATTGTTGTCCGATAATTGAACCTTCTTGTCTATAGATATTCTGTATTTTTTTCAGTCCATATTATTTTCTTAAGATTTTCCACTGTTTCATCTAATCCAACTTCTAAGATGAAGAATATATATATTTACTTGTCTATATATACTGAGGCCTACTTGCTAATATGCTTGTCTTGCACACACAAAAAATGAAAAAGTAGTGAAGGACAAT